ATATAATTGATTAAATAATAATAACTGGATAATAAAGTTATAAATATATTTAAACTCAATAAATGATAGTTAAGATTAATAGAAAATAATTAAACAAAATGAATTATAGACACTAAATTAATTAATTAAACTTAAAATTAACATATATTGAACATGTAAGATGAGGTTAGAGACACCTCACCAAATAAATATAGATAAAAATGATTTAAAGTAGATAGTTAAAATAATATAAAATTTTTTAAAAAAATAAAAGTCTCATCTCCACACCTTAATAGAAAAATGAGATTGAGTAAAAGAAATTTTTCTCCCATTTTTTCTTCCTCTTTTTCTTTCTCTCTCTTCTTTCTTAATTCTCTTTTACTTTCTCTCATATTCTCTTATTCATTCATTCCTTCCCATAATCTGATCACCACCCATACCTATTTATAGGAAAATTTGTAATAATTATCAATAGTTGAATTCTAATGATATATATATATTTTAGTTACTTCGTATTTACGTGAGCTAGTAACTCTAGATTAAATGTTTTAGATAAACATTATCTTATTCTTATGAAACAATCTTGTAGTAGAAAATTTTCTATAAAAATCGATTATTATTATTATTATTATTATATTAATACTTCGTAATGATTAATCATTATTAATGTTCATTTATTTATTTACTTTTACAAAATAAAAATTTAAAATAATTTAAAATTATTAAAATAGTATGATTAGGTATTATTTAGATCTATTTAATCAACTAAATGTTATATAAAAAAAATTAAAAATCTAAATTGGTGATTAATAATAATATGCAAATATTTATATATATTCTTGATTAATTAATTTTATTTGATAAATGTTCTTGTGAGACCCGTCCCTCACTTCTCTCCCTCTCAACTCTCATCTCTCTACTCACTCAAAATTCTCTCTTCTCCTCACTATCTCTTCTGATTTCGGATTTCCTTTTCTCTTCTCCAAGCTGAAGCTGTGAGTGAACAAGGAGGTTCATTCTCTTAAACTTGAAGCCGTTGGGAGCTAGCCGGGTGCGATTTTTTTATATTATTATTGCTATTGTTGTTATTGTTAATTATTAATAATTAATTATTTTAATATTTTTTTGTATATAAAAATATTATTACTTTTTTTACTCATAAAAATATTATAGCTATGCTTGAAAAAATGAAAACCTAGCTATCTAATTGAAACCAAAATATATTTGAATTAGATTGGATTGAATTTAATTTTTAAACCAAACTAATTAGATGCCCAGTAAACAAAATTGAAGAGATTGGATCGGATGATTTTTTTCTTTAAAACCAATCCAATTCAATCAACAAACACCCCTACCAAAAGGTATAATAATTTTATAAAAAATATTATAAGTTCTTATAAAAAATTATATAATTTCAACGTGTGTTTAATATTAAAAGAGCAAAAATAGTAAAATTTAGGAACATCAATTAGTAAAATTAGTACTAATTTATTCTCTCTCTCTTTTTATTTTTTATCTCATAACTTGTTACTTTCATTTTAAATATAATAGACTAAATTTCACTTTTAGTAATCTTCTTATTATATTCGTATAATATTACATTGCAATTTTAATCTCTCTATTTTTAATATTATAATTTTAGTCCTCAACATTATAAAATTTTTAATTTTTGTCCCATCGTTAAATATTTATCCATTGATCGTTAAAATTAAAATATTTATCTATTAATCGTTAAAATTAAAATATTAGTCATGACCGACATTAAGTGGATGACATGATAATTAATATTACTTTATCCATTAGAATTATAATGATTGAGGTTTCATTAATTCTATGTCTCTTGCTGACTTACACAATGATTGACTTAATGGAATCACTCTAATCCTTCCCCAAAGCATCATTAGTAGGAGTTGAGTTGAAATTTGAAGCTTTAGAGTTGAGAATTTGGAGTTAGGGTTGTCGTACAACGAAAGCTTGGGAGGTTTATTCTTCACCGCTTTCCTTCTTTTTCCTTGTCTTTAGGAGAATCGAGGTAAAGGAAGCTTGTAGATTAACCTTGTTGTGTTGCATGTGTTGATTATTTCCTGAATTTTCCAATTTGTGGTTATGTTATTGAATTGAGAAGTGAAGAATCTCATTGCTTGGGTTTTTGGTTGTTTAGAGATGAATTGATGATATTGGATCGTGTGATGGATGCATGAGCTCTTGATGAATTTGAGTTGTTTTATGTTGTATTTATATTGAATTGAGATTTGCATATTGGAATTGACGAAGATTTTAGGTGAATTGAGCCAATTTGCGATTCTACAAAGTGTAGAAATCACCTTTACGACAAGCACAACTTCAGGGCATTGAACATGAGCAAGTCAAGGACTCTCTGCCTTATTGACACCGGGTGTAGATTGAGTGGCATTGGACATGAGAAAGTTAAGAGCTCTTTGACTTTGTTACGTTGTGCATGGGATAAGTGATGTCGGACATGAATGTGTTAGAGACTCTCTGACTTGGTGACATTGGGCGTTGGATGAGTGGCACCAAGTGTGAGCAAGTCAAAAGCTCTCTACCTTAGCGACATCGGGTGCAAGATTAGTAGTATTGGGTTTGGATTACACAAAGACTCTATCTCTCATTTTTGTTGAGCGTAAAAGGATTGACATTTGGTGTGAGTGAGCTAGAGGCTCCTTGCCTCACCAGTGTCAGGCAGGTGCATTATGTTGGGTGTGAGTATGCTGAATGAATAGAAGAAATATATTGTTGTGTGTTGCATTGTGAATGCATGAAAAGTATGTTGTTGTGTAGTATTGTGTTGTGACATGTAGGAGGAAATGGGGAAGAAGAAGAAAATTCGCACACGGCTAGCTCCGAACGGCTTCAAGTTTAAGAGAATGAACCTCCTTGTTCACTCACAGCTTCAGCTTGGAGAAGAGAAAAGGAAATCCGAAATCAGAAGAGATAGTGAGGAGAAGAGAGAATTTTGAGTGAGTAGAGAGATGAGAGTTGAGAGGGAGAGAAGTGAGGGACGGGTCTCACAAGAACATTTATCAAATAAAATTAATTAATCAAGAATATATATAAATATTTGCATATTATTATTAATCACCAATTTAGATTTTTACTTCATGGAGAAATTTGAATTGTTTTTGCGGTAATTAGTTAAGAGAAATGAACTTAATCATGATACCAAATAATACAAGGATATTTCACCTTAAATATTTACTCATTTAAATCCTCAAAATTAAATCTCCAATTACAAATTAATTCAAACATATTAATAATTTATTATAAAGAATTAAAGTTTACGTTTTTTACTATTTAGAGATATAAATATATATATATAATTGATTAAATAATAATAACTGGATAATAAAGTTATAAATATATTTAAACTCAATAAATGATAGTTAAGATTAATAGAAAATAATTAAACAAAATGAATTATAGACACTAAATTAATTAATTAAACTTAAAATTAACATATATTGAACATGTAAGATGAGGTTAGAGACACCTCACCAAATAAATATAGATAAAAATGATTTAAAGTAGATAGTTAAAATAATATAAAATTTTTTAAAAAAATAAAAGTCTCATCTCCACACCTTAATAGAAAAATGAGATTGAGTAAAAGAAATTTTTCTCCCATTTTTTCTTCCTCTTTTTCTTTCTCTCTCTTCTTTCTTAATTCTCTTTTACTTTCTCTCATATTCTCTTATTCATTCATTCCTTCCCATAATCTGATCACCACCCATACCTATTTATAGGAAAATTTGTAATAATTATCAATAGTTGAATTCTAATGATATATATATATTTTAGTTACTTCGTATTTACGTGAGCTAGTAACTCTAGATTAAATGTTTTAGATAAACATTATCTTATTCTTATGAAACAATCTTGTAGTAGAAAATTTTCTATAAAAATCGATTATTATTATTATTATTATTATATTAATACTTCGTAATGATTAATCATTATTAATGTTCATTTATTTATTTACTTTTACAAAATAAAAATTTAAAATAATTTAAAATTATTAAAATAGTATGATTAGGTATTATTTAGATCTATTTAATCAACTAAATGTTATATAAAAAAAATAAATTGAGAATATTAAAATTATCTAATAATGTAATTAAACATTATATTGAAAATTTAGAATATTACAAAAACTAATTTTTTTAGAATATTACAAAAACTATTTTTTTTACAAACTACTAAGTAAATGAACAATTTTCTAGTTAATTGTTTAAAACAGTCAATTATTTTGCATTCACAGTTGGTTGTCTTAGTGTTAAAATCTAAAACAACGGATTTTTTTTAGTCAATTGTTTCAAAAAGTTTATTCTTGATGCTGACCATCGATTATCAATTATCATAATCAATTATGAGTCCATTTGATTAATTAATTAATTAATTAATTAATTAATTAATTAATATATAACAGCATTCTTTTAAATAAAACAAAAACTCTTTTTATTTTTATTTTTAATATATTTGTCTAAATTTTTTTAAAATTTATTAATCACCAATTTAGATTTTTACTTCATGGAGAAATTTGAATTGTTTTTGCGGTAATTAGTTAAGAGAAATGAACTTAATCATGATACCAAATAATACAAGGATATTTCACCTTAAATATTTACTCATTTAAATCCTCAAAATTAAATCTCCAATTACAAATTAATTCAAACATATTAATAATTTATTATAAAGAATTAAACTAACTATTTTTTTAAAAAATTATTTATCTCTCTAAATTATCTTTCATTTAAGTAATTAATTTTAGTGATTGAGAGAAAAGAATTTAGGTAAATGTATGAGGAGATAAGTTGAATTCTCATCGTTGTCTTTGTAATTTTTTTATATAGATAAATTTAGAAAATTAATGTTTGGAATGAGAATAATTGGCTAAAGGTACTTTAAAAAAACAATAATTTAATTTGTGCATCTAAAATGTTAGAAATGAACTTATAAAATAGTACAAGAAATTTTTTGGAAAGGGTTTTATGAATAGCAATGATGGTGGTAGTATTATTCTAAATATATATGCATGGATCCAAAACAATATGTTTACCATAATAGCCATCTAAAACGCAAGGGTTAGCATAACCATCAGTGACCTTCAAAATCTCAGCACGAGCTGCTTCTTTACCATAGTGCAAGTAACTGAAAAAGATGTTGAAAACTATATATTAACCATGACATGTGTCACGTATATATATTCATCTAGAATTTAAAAAGTAATTGCTTTAAAAGCATGTAAATCCAAACTTAATAATCCCATGTGTGTGTAAGTATGAAGAATTAGACAAGAAACCTGTGAACATAGAGATCGTATTTGTTTCCCTTGACTATTAGTTTCTTTATGTATGGCTCCTCTCCATCATGTACTTTTGGAGCATTTTTCGCTGTGTTCCTTGAAACCGCATATGCCATTTGAACTGATCCACCTCCAAGATCAACTACTCCCACTGTCTTGGTAAACTTTTTTCCCAACTTCCCCAATAGATAGTTAATTGTCAACTAGAATTGATAAAGATGCAAGATAATTAGTGTCAAAATACTGCTACACCAATCAAATACAGTCCAAAGAATACCCCCAAAACAAAAAAAAATCATTATTTCTTTATTCAAAAATTATCATTCATACATTCATTTTCTCTTCTATCTTACTGTCACTTCTTTTTATTCTTTATTTCTTTCTTCTTTTTCCCATTACATCACCTATCACTTCTCTTATTTATATATATATATATATATATATATAGTTTTTACCAAAAATCCTATAGGTGCTCTGATGGCAAGGACA